AAACCTGGGCCCTCATTTATCAACAGTGCGTAGAAAAGGTTCTATATTTTGTCCTACGAATGAAATTTAGAATGTGCATAAGTACAAGAAAATCCGTATTTATCAACCGTGCGCACGCAGTTCTTACGCACATGAGTAAACAATCATTGTTGATAAATCCCACATGTGCGTAAGTAACATGCTCGCACTCGTCACAGCGTTCTATGCGGAGCGCATTGTTTGCCAAGTCTTCCAATAACGCAAGATAAGCATTGCATTGAGACAAACAAGTCACAGCTGTGTTTTAAATGGTTTGAAACCAATTACACAAATTGTCTGTTTAAAACCAGACAAATGATAAATTGAGTGTTTTATAATTAAAGGAAACACATCTGGTGAACTCTAAGCCTATAGGATAAAGACTCGAGGCATTAACATTCAGAGAGGGCAGCGAATCTCAAGGCCATCATGAATGGCCCCCTAAACTGGGACCACTTCGATCTAAAGACATTAAATCGTGTTCGTTCTCATGAGACTCTCATTACTGTTATACAGTTATTTTATTTAAATTTATTTTATTATTTTAATTTTTTATTTTACCATGCTTTATAATTTAAATAATATACCATACGGAAAATAATATATTGTATTTTCATAATACTGTAATTATAATAGAAGAGAAATGTGCTTAATTGAAATAAAAATAATGTCTTTTTTTTTTGTATACTAAATAAAATATTTTTCCTGTAAATAGGTTTCATTTTGCGGAAAATATAATTTCTTATTTTGAAATATAATTTCTGATTTTAGGATAAAATATGACCTGGACATGTTCTTGGAAGGTTTCATGAGATTTACCCATTTTATTTTATTAAACATTAAATTAAACTTTAATTCGGCATAAAGGCAGAACAAAAATGCTACTACTATATATAATACTGATATATAATATATTTTAAAAATACTGAATCTATTTATTATTTCATATAGTCACATTACAGTAATGAGAATGGGGAGAAATATGCTTAATTATCATAGAAATAATGTCACAATAAATAGATCTTTTTTGTCTTATAAATACGCTTTTTTACACAATATAATAAAAATAATTATGATTTTAGAGTAAAATGTGACCCTGTTCTTGGAAGATTTCATGAGATTCACCCATATTATTTTATTAAACCTTAAATTATATTTAGCATAAAATTGATTTTATATGTTCACATTACAGTAATGAGAATAGGGTAGAAATGTGCTTAATTTTAGTAAAAATAATTTCACAATACATTTTTTGTCATCTTGTAAATATGCTTCATTTTGTGCATATAATTTCTATTTGTATGAGATTCATCCATCTTATTTTATTAAACCTTCGATTAAACTTAAATTTAGCATAAATTATGCTTTACAATTAAAAAAATATATTAATTATTATATATAATTCCATATACTTGCATTACAGTAATGAAAATGTGGAGAAACGTGCTTAAATATTATGCAAAAAAATTTTTTTTTGTTTTTGTTTTATAGAACATATCTTTGTGCAAAATGTAATATTTCTAATTTGACTAAATTAAACTTAAATTCAGCATATATTAAAGGCAGAAAAAAAATGCTACTATAATGTGTAAGTACTTTGCCATTTAAAAACGTACATTTTGCGTTAATTAGAAGCAGTATAAATACTTTGCAATTTAAATAATGAACTAAATGCATCAAAATCTTTGTGGTTCAATAAATATGCTTCACTTTGCGTAGAATATAATAGATCCTTGTGCAAAAAATAATTTTGTATTTCTTTCTTCTGATTTTAGGGTGACATATGACCCAGGCGTGTTCTCGGGAGGTTTTGGTGATGATTATTGTATGGTTAAATGTGTGTTCTCGGGGTCTCATGACAGCTGTGTTATTCTGGGGTCCAGTCCAGTGCTGCCGGGGGTCTGGATGGAGATGACAGGAGTCAGAGAACAACAGAGACACACAATGAGCCGCGTGACGTCACAGCAGACATCGTCATACAGCCGTACAGTCAGAGCGCGATCAAGCACATCACTTTGACATTCACAAAAGGACACATTTACATGATATTGAATGCTGCTGGAGCCACTGAACACTCCAGATTCATCCAAACCCATCTCTTCTGCTTATAAACCATACATCTGAACTTCTCAGGATTTTACACCTGTTTTATCAGCATGCATCTGATCACAGGATGGACTTGGCAACAAGGACTAATAGGACATTTTTTGGTTTTCCGTCTCTCGGTTTTTCCCACCGCAGCCCGAGTGACCGTACAGACTTCAGCATAAAACAAGAAATATGACCTTTCTGTCTCTCTATAATGGATGAATAAATCTGAGCCGCCAGGAGTTTGGCTGAAAAGTGTCTGCGAAACACAGATAAAATAGAAATGTTTAAAAATAAATAAAAAAATATTCTGGGTATGTCACGCGATGTGTGTAATTGTGGAACATGGTTGAGTGCAGCTGCGCCGAGAGAGAGTCACATGGGCGGCTCGCAGGCCTCTGATTGGATAATCCCATTTGGTTTCAGCACAGCTCTGTAACTCATTTAAATGTAAACTCTGTCTTGCTGAATTAGAGGTAATACTTCATGAAAACTTTCATTAGGAACAATAACAAACAATATTACACTGTGTGATGCTTCACACATCACATTGTCCCAAAGTGACTTTTTTTTCTCCCTGGGAACAAAACATTGAGCATTATAGGAAAAGTTAACCCAAAAATGAACACAGTGTTGTACCTTTGAGGAAAAAAAAGTCACTTTTGTGACAATATGATCTGTGAAGCATCATATAATGTAATATTGTTAGTATTTTTTGTATTGTACAGTACTGTTATTATATTTTATTTATAATTATATATTAATATTATGTATATTTTAGTAGTATTTTGCGACATTTATGCTAAATAGAAGTTCATTTTAAGGTTTAATACACTAAAACAGATGAATCTGCATTACAGTTGAATGTGCATTAAAGAGATTGTTCATCCAAAAACATTCAAATTTAATGCAGATTCGTCCATTTAATTATATTAAACCTTAAATGAATAATGAATAATATTTTCAGACGCACACATATATATAAAATACCAACAGCAACAAAAAATACTAACAATATTACACTATATGATGCTTCACAGATCATATTGTCACAAAAGTGACTCTTTTTTTATTTCCTGGAAGCAACTTTTGCAATACACATTCAAATTTAATTGAATGCATTTTCTATTAATACATTTAATAGAATAAGAATAAATACTACTAATATATACATAATACTACCTTCTAATATATATATATATATATTCTTCCTTAGAACCACAATGTTGTTGTCACGATGCACACACACAAGGAACGAGGAGATGCTGGAGAATACTTTTACCAAGACTTTATTTTCAGGAACCAAGGGAGACGAACTCAGGAAGACGTTTAACAGCGGACAGAGAACAACCGGGGATCAGGAGCCCTCCCTGGGCTGACATCGGAAACAGGAGCGCTCCCTGGGCTGACATCGGAAACAGGAGCCTTCCCTGGGCCTAACTGGGGATCAGGAGCCCTCCCTGGGCCTAACTGGGGATCAGGAGCCCTCCCTGGGCCGAAGGGGGCAAAACCAGGAAACAAAAACTTTCAAAAAGGCGGAAAGAACAAAAACGAGGAGAAGGGGCGCCGCTTACTTTTGTTTGGGTCCGCTGTTCTGTCACGATGCACACACACGAGGAACGAGGAGACGCTGGAGAATACTTTTACCAAGACTTTATTTTCAGGAACCAAGGGAGACGAACTCAGGAAGACGTTTAACAGCGGACAGAGAACTTTGGACTGGGAACACTTTTTATACACACAGGAGGAGGGGATGACGAGACACACCTGGGAGCAATAAAACCAAGGGAAACACCTGGGACAAATTAAATAAACTAATCAGGACAGGAACAGGAAACTAACCAAATAAGGGCATGGGAAGGCACATGGGGAGCAGGACACACACAAAACATGGAACAGAGTCTGACAGTTGTATTTATTTTTGAGTGAAATATCCCTTTAATACACATACATTCATCCATTTTATCCTATTAAACATTAAACTTAAATTTAGCACAGATTTAGCAAAAATACTACCAATATATACATAATACTAATGCACTGTATAATAAATACTAATAGTAATGTATAATTCAAAACAATACTAGAAATTACAGAAAAATGACTTTTTTTTCTTTGTGGGAATATCATTGTGTTCATTTTTGGGTGAAATATCCCTTTAATGCCCAATCAATAGATAGAAATATCATTTCATTTCACATATCTTCATTGTATTTATCCTATTATAATGATGTTACTAATGAAGGTAAGTCAATGTATCTGGCACATCCAATAAATCAATGCGGATCCAATTGCCACTAGAAATCATAACAAACATGTAGAATTCATGTAATACAAACAGAGCTGGCTAAACATGTATTTTATAAAAACATCTTGAATTTATAGCGTCGGTGGAACAGCATAAACTCTCCTGACTCATTGCATTTCCCTCTGTAGCGAATCACTGGGACTCAAAGCATCAGTCCTCTCAGTTAATCTGCCTGCCGGCGGAGCACGAGTCCACCTCCACAACACAGCGCAGGTAATCCGTGTGTGTGTGTGTGTGTGTGTGTGTGTGTGTGTGTGTGTGTGTCTGTGTGATTGTGTATGTGTGTGTGGTGGGTGTGTGCTTCACACACCTTCACTTGAAAACACACTCGGTGCACGGCATCATACTGAAGCACACAGCTCCACAGGAACATGAGCGCTGTCTGTCTGTGCGTGTAAACAGCATGATGCTGGTGTGCTGCTGGACATTTACTAAAGTTTGAATGCTTTTAAAATGTTGCTATGCGGTTGCTAGGGCACTTTGGTTGCTTGCTTGCTATCCCGAGTGTCTTTTATATCCAGGTTCCTTCCTGTGGATGTTTCAGCTTCTGACAGGTGAAAATTGTGATCACTTAGAAGAGTATTAACACCAGTGTTATTTTAGTAATATTTATATAATATTATAGTATCTATTAATTTTTTGCATTACTTATACATTTTATTATTGTATAGATTTCTGTATAGTTTTAATTGACTTTTATTTCGGTTTTAGTCATTTTAGTACTTAAATTTAAAATGATTTATTTCAGTTAGCTGCCAAGACAACATGTTTATGGTTTTCATCTAATATTTTATTATATATTATATATTTTATTTTATATTAAATATTTTTTCTAATATCAGTTTATTTAAATTACTGAAAAAATAGTTTTAATTTACATTTATTTTAGTTTTAGTCACTTCAGTACTTCAGTTTAAACTTATTTCAGGACATTTCTTCATTTTCATTTAAAGTTTTTCATCTAATATTTTATTATATATTATATTATATTGTATATAAGCTTTATTTCAATTACCAAAAAATAGTTTTAATTTACATTTATTTCAGTTTTAGTCATTTTAGTACTTCAGTTTAAACTTATTTATTTTAGTTAGTTGCCAAGGCAACATTTCTTCATTTTAATATTTTTTTAATCTAATATTTTATTATATTTAATTACATATTATACTTTTATATTTATATTTACTTTTCTCTCAGTTTTAGTTTTAGTCATTTTTAGTAATTTTTTTTAGAAATTATTACTTGAATGTAAACTTAATTTCACTTAGTTACGAAGTCAAGACTTTCATCTAATATTTTATTTTACATTATTTATTTTAATATTTTATTTGATTATATTTTATATGTGCTGTATTTTATTTTATATCAGCTTTATTTCAATTACCCAAAACAATTTTTCAATAGTTTTAGTTTTAGTTAAATATACCAATACAGATTAGCACACCTCTGCTTAACTAACACGATGATTTTCAGATGTCATTGATATTTACTGCACAGACAGCGCTAGTTACTCTGTGTTAAGTGTGTGTTCAGATCACTAACCCATAGTACTAAGACTAGTAATGATGCCTGAACAGGACTTAACACAGGAGGGATGGTGTTTTCTGTCACCGCTGCTTCCAGCTGGCAAAATCAAAGCGTAAAAGCGCAGCTAAAAACCAGCGGTGATGTGGGGCGACGCATGATTACAGGTTGGACAGCTTCCCGCTTCGATTCAGGCCTTTTGCAAAGTGTGGAGAGCATTCATCATTGGCTGTAATAGACAGCGCGAGCGAATTCTCCCTCTTGGCAGCCGTCCTCACCTGAGTCTCCACACACCATTAAGATGTCACAGAAGCCTAAAGGGACTCACTTGGCCTCTGCCAGCGCAGGGCAGCACCATTCTTAAAGAAAACGAGATCCTCAAGAAGATCCTGGACGTCTTCCAGAGCTCCGTGTCCTGAGGTCACCCGCATCCTAATGAGACTTCACACAATCCCAAGCCACTCCAGGACGGCTTCATCTGATCACTGCGACTGCAACTTCACATCCAGCGTCTACCTTAAAACTGCTTCAATATCATAAATGTATGCTTTTTTTGAAAAAGAAGGTTTTAGATTTAGACATGATCTTTACTTTTTACGTTGGGTTTTGAATATGATATTTAAATCTCTAAAGTCTTTTTTTATTTCATTTGTGTTTGATTCATATTTTACCACTAATACTATATTTTTATATTTTTTTCAAGAATGTTTTATTATTGTTATTATTATTTCCTTCTTGTTTTATCTTCCTTTTTCAGTTTTATTTTATTTTGCTTTTTTCATTGTTTACTAATTATTTACTAAATTGCAACCTTTTATAAATTTAATATTTTTTCTACTTTTTATATTCTGACCCATGAAGCACTTTGAGCTGCATTTTACTATTACTATTATTACACTGAAAAAAAAATTTCATTCATCCAATTAAAAAAATGTAGTGTAATGATTCACATCTATATTTTTTTAACTTGAGCCAATGAAAAATAAATAACTTGCCCTTGCCCAAATTTTTTGTAATTTTTTTCAGTGTATTATTATTATTATTATTACTTGCCTCTTGTTTTATTTTCCTTTTTCATTTATTTATTTATTTTTTATATTTTTTTAATTTTCTATTATTTATATATGAAGCATTAAGTAAGCATTATGCATTATATAACATTTTAATGAAAGTTATTAGTATTATTATTATTCCTGGTCTTACTGTGAATGATTCATCAGTGCATGTTATTCTAAAAAGTATTCTTTATAATCTTTCATCAAAATATAATGTTTGTTCTGCCTATAAAATGACTTACTTTTCAGCTGACGTCGTCAATCTTGTCAGTAAATGAAATCATGTTTTAAAACATACTTTATTCTACGTTTATGTCTGTTTCATTCTTAAATATGTCACATTACGGGAGTAAAACAGGTTGCAAGTGAAATTTGATGTTGACTTCAAATGGAAAGCTCAGAGCAAAGACCTCAAAAAGGAGTATAAAACCACCAAACTTCATTTAAGAAGCACATCTGTGAAACAAAATCTGTTGAATCCAATAACCTGCATTGGACGACACCGGCCCATATATAGACCGGTTAATCAGACACGATCAGGAATATCAGGGCAACCCAATATTTCAGCAGCTGTATGTGAACGGTCTGGACGTATGGCACCGCTGCTCATTTTAGATCTCCATCATTTCAGTCAACTGTTCCTGGATCTCGTCCGGATGCGAGTCTCATCTTGGCAGCCACAGCACAAAGGGTCAAAGGTCCAGATCTGCGCAGGGTTCGGATAATTGCGGCCTCGTCCCAAATGGTGCTTGAAATCGTGTGGACTTCACAGGGCAGCGTTTGCGACCGGACCTGCGGTGCGTTGGTACGATTCAATCCTGCGTGCTGTGACATTTATAAATATGTGCTTCACTAAGAAAGGTTGCATTTATTGTTTTTGAGAGCAAGCGTGAGCTCTTTGCTTCTGAAGTTATTTTAACCTTGAACTCTTGCTGCATGCTGCTCAATTTGTTTAGCAAATTCAATGCACTGAAAAGCTAAAGCTGAAAAACCTCAACTCAACATGAAACGCTCTTTGCATCCCATTTTACTTGCATAATGTGACAGATTTTTGAATGTAACAGGATATTCAAGAGGGAAAAATGCAGCACGGGATGTGATTGTTTCCAGTGGGAATTAATGATGGCAGATCTGAATGTGAGTTTGCAGTACTCACGACACTTTTGAGGAGGATTTTTGATGCTGAAAGACAAGTTTACTCTCTAACGCAGCTTTATGTATCCCAATCCTGACTTTTCTGTATGAAAGATATCATTATTTGATTTTATTAATGCAACCTTTATTACATTAACTGATATTAGATTACTAGCTATTTGACGTCAACTGCAAAGAAAAGACTTTTCATTTCGATGAAACATTATGAAGACAAACATCTTTTGTCTTTGTAAAAGACGTGCACTCTGAAATATGATCTTAAGGCACTATGGCAGATTGTTTGTTCAGCTGCAATCCAGTAACTTTAAAGTAATATTTTAACCAAAAATGATAGTTTGCTGAAATCTGCTCACCCTCAGGCCATCCAAGATTAGGATGAGTTTGTTTCTTCATCAGATTTGGAGAAATGTAGCATTGCATCAGTGTCTCAGCAATGGATGCTCTGCAGTGAATGGGTGCCGTCAGAATGAGAGTCCAAACAGCTGATAAAAACATCACAATAATCCACAAGTAATCCACACCAGTCCATCAGTTAATGTCTTGAGAAGACAAAAGCTGCATCTTTGTAAGAAACAAATCCATCACTAAGATGTTTTTAACTTTAAACCATCACTTCTGACTAAAATACGAGTCCATAATCCATAATAACACTTCCTCCAGTGAAAAAGTGCATCTGCTGTTGTCTCTCACGTCACAATCCAGCCACATATGTGTTTAGAGCTGTTTAAACGCTGCTTGATCTGTGCAGATTTCGTCTTTTACTGTTAAAATCACAATCATTTTTTACAGTGTACATTTCTTCAAATCTGATGAAGAAACAAATTCATCTACATCTCAGATGGCCTGAGTGTGGGGACATTTTCAGAAAATGTTCATTTTGGGGGGAACTGTTCCTTTATCAACATTTATCTCACTGTGAGTGATTCTGAGTCCTGCTTCTCATCCGATTCATTCATCAGATCAGTATTAGTGCCTGGAGTGAGAAACACTAAAAGTGAAAGGAAACATTGCAATCTGCCATTTGGATAATAATAGCAACTCTAGGTTGTGCTGTGTCTGTTCTCATGATTCAGCGCTGTCAGATAATAGATCAGAAGACAGCAGATTCTACAACTCATCTGTTGATTTATAAGCAAGTGGCTTTAGTTTGATTCTCTAACAGGATTGTGGATGTACTGTGCAATTTAAATGCTATTTTTGATACTTAAAAAAAAATCTGATTCTTAATAGAATAAAAAGATAAGATCATTAGATAACACAATGTTTGGATGCTTTCAAAGAACTCAAAACTCTGATCTGAAGAAACTATAATGAATCTCTAAAGAATCATATAGCAACTGAAGAATCCTAAACACCTAGAAATGATTCTATAAAATTTATTTTAACACGAAGGTGACAGTATTGTAGAATTCCCTTCATACCAAGTGGTTACAATAAACAGCACCATCCTATACACAGGGCGAACAGACCGGGGCTAGTTGTCACATGTATGCCAATGACAAAGTCGTTTTCTCTATCAGATGGTTTCATACACCTGGTTCAAAACTTTTTAAAATCTAAATAATTCTTTGACTTCTTTCATCTAGGCTAAAATGCAAATGTTTTTGTAATATCCATACACACACACACACACACACACACACACACACACACAC